ATAATGGAGATTTGAAGATGTTTCTGAGCTTTTGGTCACCTCTGAACCCTGTAGCAAGAATCACCAGATCTGTCTCTATGGGTTTTGAATCTCCATCAATAATTAAACCTTCTTTGCAGAACTTAAAGCCCTCTGATCTCTTTATAATGATGCTTCCTTCTTTTACTCTATCATAAAAATTTTGAGGAAGAATTCCAATCTGACATGAAGAGAGTCCTTGAAGAAAGCTGTCATTAGGTACCAATCCAAATTTGTCTAGTGGCAGCCTCCATCTCAGGTTTGACTCGACAAACTTGAGATTGCCCATCTCTGAAAATGCAAAGACGAATCATCAGCATGAAGATGATTTCTCTGTTTGTGAGAATATATGCACATGAGATGTGCAGGATTTACCAATGGGGCGAAGAGAGTAGCCACAAGGCTTAGGAAGAAGGATTCACCAGGCTTGTGAAACAAAAACTCAGAAAAGCGATTGAAGTACAAGAATGCAAGATTAATTCCCCAAATATTAGAATCTGGGAGAAACCAGTGTACTGTCCTTTGAACCATGGTGCAGGGCTGCTTGATTCCTGTATATATAAAAAGCATTTTGAGAGACAGAACTTTTATGTGATTTGTAGGAAGGCAAGAAAGAAAAGTTTTACCATTTGCAGATGCACACTCAGCTACTATATCATAGGCAGATTTCTGGGAGCCTATTACTGTAACTCTCTTTGATTTGATCAATTTAGCAGCATCCTCATTTGCCATTGAAGAGAAGTCCATTGAGTGTATGACCTGACCTTTGAACACTTCGGGGCCTTGTCCTGCCGGGAATTTAGGTATGTTTGGCACACCACTATATTTTCCAATGCACAGAACCACAAATTCAACCTCATACACCTATAAAAGATACCCAATATGTAGATACACGGTAGTCTGGACAGTGCACATATGTATTTGTAATTTGTATGTAAATACCTACCTCGGTGGAAAGACTCTCTGTATGTTGCACTTGAAGGTGCCATTTTCCCTTAGAGCCAAAGGGCTTGCCAGTTCCACCCCACAAATCCCAAGACTCGGTAATTTCTTCAGTAACCTCGCCAACATAGTCAATATCGATGACTTTAGAGTTGAATCTGATGTGAGATAAGATCCCAAACTTTTGAGCATAGGAATCCAAATACTGCAAAACCTGGAGGCTACTTGGATTCTCTTCTTTGACAGAAGAATCCCATGGAAAATCAGAAAACCTGTAAGATTCCCTGCTGTTCTGAAGTTTGGTAGACTCAATTGTGTGCCTCCAGAGTCCTCCTATGCCATCTTCAGCCTCAAAGACGACTGGATGAAATCCCTTCTCTACTAAGTATTTGCAGGCAAGAAGACCACTGGTTCCTGCTCCAATAATCCCCACTCTTCTCTCCATTCTCATCTATCAATGCTCGATTCTCTGATTTTACCCTAACAAGCATTATATCTAAATCGATTATTCAAAAAGTCAGTACATTTCTTTTTGGAATTGTTTTCTTCAACGTTTTTTTTTTTTTTTTTGACCAGGGTTTCTTCAACGTTTTACTTCGTGGGTTGTGTTTGTTTTTATTAGAAAAGAGCTTCAGTCGTCTACTGGAAATATATCTATCGCCACCTCATATTTGGAAGGCGGTGGGCGATGACTGGTTCAGTGAGTCTACTGGCGAATTTTTTTTTGTAGCTTCATGCCTTCATCAGACTCTATTCAATATATGTCCGCGTGTGTGTTTGAATGTTTTTTTTTTTTTGATAGTATGTGTTTGAATGTTTTGACTGGGCTTGATCTCTTTTCTTTTTTTTTGACCAAGAGACTGGGCTTGATCTCTGGGAGTTTATCACGATTACTTAATTTATTTTATATAGGAAGCTGAAGCTAACTTGAGTTACTCTTTTAACGAATAGAAAATGTTTATTCCATAAAAAATTGCAGACGCTAGGACCGTTAAGAGGTTGTCTGAAATACGCTAATTAATCATTTTTTTGACCGGAAAATACATTGATTTAATCATGAATCATAAATAAACTAGGGTAGTAATAAAATTCTTCATTTAATTTATGTATCTCAAATTCAAATATTAGTATATGTTTTACCAAATTAAAATATTAGTATATAACAGAATGCCATTACTAGTAAAATCTGAACTTAATACTTAAGTCTAAAAAAATTAAATTTATTCATAAACACATACTATAACTCAAAACAATCAATAAATAATTAATAATCCATCATCATATTACTTAGTATATCCATAGTTACATGTTTAATATTAAAGCTAGTTTGACATTTAATTTAGTTATAAATATAAGACCTCAATTCACTTTATCCCTTATATTTATCAAGTTTGCCATTAAGTAATTCTTATAGTGATTCCATGTGTTAAATTGTTACTATCAATAGATAATTCAAACCACACATGATTAATTAAGGTATTTTAGAAAAGACACTACAAACAATTAACTTAACTAACTTCTTAATCTAACCAAATTAGTCAACTATGTTTTATATTAAGAACTGAAGATAGAATTATCTATTAGTATCTAGTACTCCTCTATTCCTTAATGTAAGACCTATTTAACTAATTTTATTAGATTAAAAAAGTTTGATAAGTTAGTTAATTATAACAAATAAGACATATTTTTTCTAAGACACCATAATTATCTTCCTTAATATCCTCCCCCTCTCCTACTTGACTATAGTTAAGGAAGTATTAATAAGAGTAATTTAAGAAAGATTGATAAACATGAGAAATAAATTTTATATTTATGATCAGAAAACTAACTTAATAATTAGGTCATATTTATAATTGGGAATATGGGCTAACCTGCGGGTTGCAAGCTAGCTCACCACAACCTATAGGTTATGCAGTGTGAGCTGGAGTAACTTGCATTTGGTGGGTTGAAAAATGCCAACCTTAACCATCATAGCGGGTTGGTAGGCTAGCCCACCATCTTTTTTTTCTTTTTTTTTCAATTCTTAACTTTTAAACCTTTTTTTTATTTAATTTTTTAAATTAATAAATGGTGATCCAAAATGTTAAAAACAATCACAAGTATAAATTATGTTTAATGACACTTAAAATAATTAATACAAATATAAAACAATACATTACAAATATTTTAAATGATTAACATACAACGTTAACTCATAGTGATAAATTTTACAATTTTGTCATACAAATACCATGTTTGATACAGAAAACTATCTCTTAATAAATTAGAAGTATATCTATCTAATTTTTTTAAAGTTCATTCACTATATTTTTCTAAAACACCGTTTTCTATAATAAATATGTCTTGTATTTGATTTGGTGGTTAAATTTTTGTTATACATATAGTATGCTTATTTTTAAAATATTTTTTGTGTATATATGTAACATGAAAATTAAAATATAAATGAGGGAAAATTTTTAAATATAATAACATATATTTACGTGAAATTTTTTTTAAAAAAAAATGATAGGTTAGGGGCCAACCCGCCACAACTCGTGAGTTATGCGGTGCAAGCTAAAGTAACTCACACCTTGGGGGTTATCAAAACGCCAACACTAACCCGCTTCTTTATGGGGGTTGATAAGCTGGCCTGCAGGCCTCAACATCATATTCCCAGTTCTACCAAAAAACAAAGGAGTATTATATAGAAAAGTAGATTGTTTTGGGACCTAGTGTGAGAAAAATGTGTAATTATGCGCTTGTCTCTGGTTAAAAAAAAAAAAGTGCTTGTGACCTATTTCCCATGATCGTCCGCACTGCTTCGAAAATTAGGTTTGATAATTCATTTTAAATTGATTTAAAAAAATATAATCAATGAAAACAATTTAATCTAAAAATTTTGTAAATAAATATCATATTTTATCAGCTATTTACTTGAAGACAAGAATCCCTACTATTCGCGTCAACATGAGTTGGTACAAACAAAATATATCTATCCTAATTTTTTCTGATTATTTTCTCTAATCAAATATAATGTTATTTGTAATTTTATAATTCTATCAAAGAACAAGAAGGGACTTATATGTGTGTGTGTGATTAAGGATTAGATTTTTGATATGAAAATCAGCTGAACATCTACACTATTTTATATGTATCTTCATTTTTCATCAGCAGATTTCATATAACATCTGTCTCATGATTTTTAGTGTTTAGGAACATTTTCAGTAACTTCTAATGAAAAAAATATTCAGTGACAGAAACTGTCAAATTTGGCGTCATTAAATAAGTAACAGAATCACTGGCAATTGCTATGTCAAATAATTTAAATCCACATTAAATAGAGTGTGAAGATGAGTGATTGTGCTGAGATAGAGTCTAATATCATATATACTTCTATCTTCAAAATCAATTTGTATTAACCGAAACAGTCCTTTATAAAATTTAAACTACACTCAAATTTAACTACTCCCTCTGGTTCATAATATAAGTTGCTTCTAGAAGATTGGTTTAATTTAAAATACAAGTCACTTGGAAAGTATTTGATGCCTATTAGTCAATTTTGTCTCTGCAGTTAATACTTAAATATAACTTCTCGTGTTTTTCTCTCTCTCCTTCATAACCTTATTTAATATGGGTAAAGTTAGAAAAAAAAAATCAATTTGGAACAGATTTAATGAGTCAACTATCATTTTTTGATATTGAGAAATTAGTTAAAGTGTGACTATATTGTGTATTAGTATACAAAACTAACAGCATGCAGGAAGTCTTTGCAGGAGGTCTTATTGACACAAGGAAAACAGAATTTCCAAATTGCTCATTTAGTGGGAAGGCTCACATAATCAGTGGGTCCATAAGGTTGAAAAAGTTCTGCAAAAAGGCTCTTTTTTTTTTTTTTCCCCTGGGTTACCTCCATGTCCTTGCAGAGTTGGTCATTGTACCAGATATTGCAATTTCCAATACATGACTTCCAATAATACCTCCCACCATATAGCTTCATATTGTCTTCCCAGATTTTTATTTCCTTTTCCATTTCTCTCACACAGGGCAGTTCAATTCTTCCATCAGAAAGCTGCTAGCCACTTGCACCTCATTTCAAAACCATACAGATTTGAGAGTCCCTCTGCAAATCCTATTATTACTACTTGTGGGATTCTAGCATGAAGTATCTTTCTGCAATGTTATAAGATATTCAAAATATGGTCAGGTTTAGATTTATGTCTTTGCTTAGTGCTTATTTAAGAATCTATCTGTGAAGGATAAGTTGTCAAACCTGTACAATGGAACTGAGGAAGTAGCTGAGGGGGTGATGAGATTTTGGAATATTGGTGATTTGAATATATTTCTGAGCTTTTGATCACCTTTGAACCCTGTAGCAAGAATCACCACATCTGTCTCTAATGGTTTTGATTCTCCATCAATGATTAAACCTTCTTTGCAGAACCTAAAGCCCTGTGATCTCTTTAGAATGATGCTTCCTTCTTCCACTTTGTCATAAAAATGTTGAGGAAGCATTCCAATCTGACATGAAGAAACATCTTGGAGAAAGCTTTGATTAGGTACCGATCGAAACTTATGCAGAGGTAGCTTCCATCTTAAGTTTGATTCAACAAACTTTGAGACTGCCTATCTCTGAAAATGCATAGAGGAATAATAAGCATTAAAATGATTGTTTGTGAGTATATCTGCATAGGGATATATGATGTTCTGGATTTACCAATGGTGAGAACAAAGCAGCCACAAGGCCAAGGAAAAATGATTCACCAGGCTTGTGAACTAAAAGCTCTGAGGAGCGATTGAAGTACAAGTAGCCAAGACTAATTCCCCAGATATTAGCATGTGGGAGCAACCAGTGTGCTGTCCTTTGAATCATTGTGCAGGGTTGTTCTATTCCTGCAAAGAAAGCATTGAAAGATATAAGTTTTATTCGTGATTTGTGAAAGCAAGGAGAAAACGGTATTAGTATTACCATTTGCAGATGCACACTCAGCTGTTATATCATAAGCAGATTTCTGAGAGCCTATTACTGTAACTCTCTTTGATTTGATCAATTTGGCAGCATCCTCATTTGCCATTGAAGAGAAGTCCATGGAGTGCATAACCTGGCCTTTGAACACTTCTGGGCCTTGTCCTGGAGAGAACTCAGGTATGTTTGGCAGACCATTATATTTTCCAATGCACAGAGCCACAAACTCAACTTCACACACCTGTACAAAATACCCCAATATTGTAGGTAAACAGGACAACTCATTTTTCAGATTCTGTATTTGTTTGTAAATTACCTTACCTACCTTAATGGAAAGACTCTTGGTGTATTGCACTGAAGAAGAAGCCATTTTCCTTAGAGCCAAAGGGCTTGCCAGTTCCACACCCACAGATCCCAAGACTCGGTAATTTCTTCAGTAATCTCGCCAACATATTCAATATCAATGACTTTAGATTGAATCTGATGTAAGATAGGATCCCAAACTTTTAGATAGGAATCCAGATACTGCAAAACCTGGATGCTACTTGGATACTCTTCTTTGACAGAAGAATCCCGTGGAAAACCAGAAAACCTGTAAGATTCTTTGCTGTCTGAAGCTTGGTAGACACAATGGTGTGCCTCCAGAGTCCTCTGTAGTCCTGTGCCATCTTGAGCTTCAAAGACGATGGGACGAAAGCCCTTCTCTGTTATGTATTTACAGGCAAGAAGACCACTGATTCCTGCTCCTATAATCCCCACTCTTCTTTCCATTCTTGGCTGTCAATACTTTGTTCTCTTTCTGATTTGAGCATAATAATAATATAGTAAGCTTTAGATTTATTATATTGGTGCTTCAAAACGGTCAATACAAGTTGTTACTTTTTTTTTTGGGTGTGTTGTTTATCCTGTTATAACATAGAGCTTCGAGATTTCCGGGTCTTAGTTGAGCTTGATTTTTGGGAATTCATCATGACTATTTAATTGTTTTTGTATTTGAAAGTTCAACTAGTGAGAATTTTAAAGGAAGTGACTCTTGTTATGAGCAGACCTTTTTGGCCATTTTATTTTCGTTAACCACAAAACGTAATATTTTCGCTGATGAAAATCGAAACCAAATTATTACTTGTCCAGTTTTAAATATAGGATCTATTTTGTAGGATAATTTACCACTATAAAATAGATCTTATATTTATATT